TTTTTTTTTTTAGCTTCAAACTAAATCCCCTTTTAGTAAAATTGTGGATCTTTGAATATGCATGTGGACTATAAGAACATGACCCAAAATGTTAAAATGAATAAGGGTTGTGAGATTTGATTTACTGTTTGGGAAAATAATTAATCATTAGTAGAGATAATATTAATCACATGCACTATAAGACTTAAAAAGGGCTTCGTTATTACGCTGTGATTTTAAGCGGTTTTGTTGTTGATTGATAAGGAATGACAGATTCAACGTTTTGGAACCTACAGAAAGACAAATAAGAAGAAAGAGATATCATTAGATTTGTCAAAATTTTCACAGTATAAAAAGCAAATTCCCCACAACTTTTATTCTAACACTTTTGATCTTATTTAGGAAAAATTCTTCCCTTAATACTGTTACAATCACAGAACTTCAATTACTTCCCTTACAATTTTCTTCTTTATTCTTCCTTTCCCACTATTAGAAACCCTAGAAAAGAGAAAATTCAAAAAAGCAATTTCCGTCGTAAACCATGATCATACCGACTTCGAAAATGACATTAGTATCTAATTATTAATCAAATGACGGTAAAACAACCTACATGCATGTAATTACTATTATAAACTAAATAAATAAATAAAAAGAAACACAAATTTCTAATCTCTCTATAAAGAAAATCATTTTACAATAATAACAACACGAAGAATTTAAATGTAGGATATGAAAAAATAGATAGCAATAGAGTTATGTTTTAAACAGTTAAAACCGGTATGAGATTATATTAATTTTGCATGCTTTTTTAATTTGATATGATTTTCACTAGATTTAACATTTAAAAACACGTAATAGTAGGAGGCCTTACCGTAGGAAAGACCCTAACAACAAACACATAAAAGAAAAAAAAGCCTAACAAGTAAGGTGTTTTTTAGACTTACTATGTCAGCATATATAGCCCTCCTTTCCTTCAAGGACATGGCCACAAGGAAACTCGAATCTTCCTTTTGATTTATTATGATGACAATAATGCCCTGACCTTTCATCAAGAACTAAGGTTTCCTCTAGTTGTGATCTGACTATATCTGTCTTTGATGCCTAACCATGACAACCGAGTGAGATAAATACACATAAAAAGTTGCGAGTAATATACATTAGCAAGTAGGCAACATGGCAAATCAGAATACTTTATACATAAAAAAGGGCAATTGCTACAATTGCATCCTGACACAAACAATCAGAGCTTATGGTCATTCTCTCAATTGGAATAAGAATAAAAGCTTTGAAGAAGCTTCTAAGTTCTATAAACCAGGCATTTTTCCAACCCCCCCACCTCCTGAGTGACAAAGCCTACAAAGAAAGAATATAAGGAGTTTGATATATATAATACCAAGAAAATTTCATATTTGCAGTAGATATTTTCCTCTAAAGAAAGGAAAAAAAAAAAAAAAAAAAAGAGTTTGTTACTCACCATGATTTCTTTAAGAGATGTTTATCATGTTGTTACAGCCACTGTCCCTTTATATGTTGCCATGATTTTAGCTTATGTTTCTGTTAGATGGTGGAAAATCTTCACCCCAGATCAATGTTCCGGCATAAACAAGTTTGTTGCGAAATTCTCAATCCCTCTATTGTCTTTCCAAATCCTGTCTGACAACAATCCTTACAAGATGAACCTGAGGCTCATACTCTCAGACTTTCTTCAGAAGCTGCTTGCCTTTGTAGCATTGACAGTGATGACTAGATTCACCTCCAAAGGAGGCTTGGATTTCGTCATAACCGGTCTCTCCGTCTCGATTCTTCCCAACACATTGATCCTGGGAATTCCTCTGTTGAAGGCCATGTATGGTGAACAAGCTGCTGTGCTCCTTTCTCAGATAGTTGTCTTACAAAGCTTAATCTGGTACAATTTGTTACTGTTTCTTTATGAGTTCAACGCCGCCAAGTCTGCCGCCTCTGTCTCGCCCTCATCGGAAGCCACAGGTAGGGGTTCTGAATTCACAAATTTTAATCATATTCATAACTCGTGGCTTTACGTTGAACATCATGAAGAAAAAAAAAAAAAAAAAAAAAAAAACCCTCTTAATGGATTATTGTTTTAACTACCTAAACATAAGCAATTGAATAAGTTCAGTTTCTTACCATCAACTCTCTCTCTTCCTTTTTTTCTTCCCTTTGTTTTATCTGAAATTGTGTGTTTGCACTTTGCAGCATAATTTGTTTTTTTAATGTAGACTTACGGTACTTTCTACATGAAATTTTCTTTTCTTGAACTTGAGTTGTGGGATTTGAACTGTACACCTCATTAAGGTGGAGTCAGATATAGATTTACCGCTAGATGTCTGCAACCACACTCTCCACATGAAATTTGATAGATATAATATGACTTTATGTATCACACATCTTCTTTTTCCAGTTTTATATAAAATTTTGACACCAGTCAAGGTTGTTGGTTTTTCTGTTGAAAGAGGACATGGAGGCCCCTCAGGAGTCACAGCCCAAAGAGGAAGTAGAGGAAGCAAGAAACAGATCATCAAGTCCAAGGAAAATCAAAACAATGCTCATTCTCTTAACTGTTGGAAGGAAGCTTATAGGAAATCCCAACACCCATGCAACTATCATTGGCCTTGTTTGGGCATGCATAAAATTTAGGTTAGCCAACAAAAAGCAAGTTAAAATTTTTAGGATTATGTTTTTGATTAATAATGATGTTTTTATTAAGAACAATGGATCTGAACTCTTGAACTCTGAATCTGTTGTAGATGGAAAGTGGAGTTGCCAGCAATTGTTGACCAATCAATTACAGTACTCTCAAGTGGAGGACTTGGCATGGCAATGTTCAGCTTAGGTATGAACAAACATTTCAACAACTAATTACCTGCCTTGAGGACTAAGAATTTGAATAGCAACAACAGCATTTGGGGCGTGAAATTTGCTAATTGTGTGGCTTAATATGCAGGTCTTTTCATGGCTTCACGGAGTAGCATAATAGCATGTGGGACCCGGATGGGGGTTTTGGCCATGGGACTGAAGTTCATTGGGGGACCTTTCCTAATGGCAGCTGCCTCGCTTGCCATTGGACTAAGGGGGACTCAACTCAGAGTGGCAATTGTTCAGGTAAATTAAAAAAAAAAAAAAATGGGGTGGAGAGATTTGAACTCTAACCTTATAGCAGAGTCAGGTATCGATTTAGGATTAGACGACATGTGACCACATATATATTATGTTTTGAGTTAGCATCATTATTATGTGACTTTCATGTGTAAATAGGAATATTAACAATTCAAAAAAAAAAAAAATCAACACGTTGAGTTTACTTGTTTTGATTATACAATAACCCAAACTACTTGCCTGATAAGTGGCAATGGTTCACTACTTCAATAGTTGAGTGGAGTTAAAAAAAAAATCTTATTAGGCAAGGGCTCGTGAGCCTACAAAAGATCCGGAATTAGTGGGATATGCCAGTTTTTTGTTCCTCTTAATTTTTTTTTGTTTTTTTTGAATTTCGGTGTGAAAGGGGATTTAAACACTAGGTCTCATATCGAGTCGAAAAAAAAAAAAAAACAGAGAAACTGATTAGCTAAAGGATTATCGCTCTAGAAAAGGCGCGAAATTAGCATGATATGTCCTTTTTTTTTCCCACCCTCTAATATTTTCCTGAATTTGAGGGTAGGGGATTCGAATTTAAACCTCACCACCAAGCCTGCAACCACTAACCTTTTAATTTGAGAAAAAGAATAACAATGTTTATATATAAGCTAAATACAGCATTTTGTTCACTGCAGGCAGCTCTTCCTCAGGGAATTGTTCCTTTTGTCTTTGCTAAAGAGTACAACATATATCCAGACATTTTGAGCACTGGGTAGGAATTCCCTTTTATCCTTCTTTTTCTTCATGTAATAATCTTCTTTCCATGGTTTAACATGATTCTGAAATCTAGTTTTTTTTTTTTTTTTTTTTTTTTTTTTTTTTTTTTTTTTTTTGGGTTGCAGGGTTATTTTTGGCATGCTAATTGCCTTGCCCATAGCATTGGTCTACTTCTTCATGTTAGCACTGTAAAATGTTTACCCCAGTTGAGCAACATAACACTAGGACCAGAAGAGAATTTTCTGCAACATAATTGGAGGACCAGAAACATGGTCAGATTGTTGTAGTAGATGGACTTGGGAGTCTCATTCAATTTATTCATTTCTTTTGAGATGATGTAATATGACTTATATGCTGATCAGAAGACAAAAAAAAAAAAAAAAAATTGTACTAGAATCAGCTAATTAGATAGCCAATACATTAAGGGTGTTCGCGATCGGTTTGAGCGGTCTTTTTTAGAAACTACTAATCAAATCAAAAATAATTTTTTTCGGCAATATGATATTTTTGACAAAAATCAAATTGAACTAAATCACTTATAAGCATTTTAGACAATTTAATTTGGGTGGTTTAAGCTTAAGACTAAAAAAATTTTTAATAATTCATAAAAATTATAAAATCGTTATTCAATAAAAATAAAAATAAGATTCAAGTTTATAATATAACTTAAAAATAACAAATGTATAACCATTTAAACTTTTAATACAAACCAATAAAAATATGATATGGTGTATTTTATTAATGTAAAACCTTTATTATGGCCAATAAAAATTAAAATAAATATAAAAAATATTTTAAAAATTAAAAAATTATATATGTATATTTTTGGTTGGATTATTGGGCAGTTTAAAGAGTCCAAATCGTAAACCAAACCGCCTAAAAAAATTAAATTAAAAATTGACTAAACCTCTAAATAATCTAAACATAATTAACGATTTGGTACGATTTAATTTGAATCGAGCGGTTTCGCGATTTTTTGAACACCCCTGCAATACATAAATAGTGGGATGACTGGTTAAAACTTACAAGTAAACTCAGATTTTCTTAGCCACAAACATTATATGAGAAACGTGGAACAAGATTGGTAAGTTTGTTCACAAGTTCCATGTATTGGACGGCAAATGTTCGATGAGATGACTTTAGAGCACTCCTATTCATCTCTATTAGATGGAATTCAACTACTCATAAAAAAATTGATCCTATTAGATGAGTAAGTGGGATCAGTGATAGAGATTTATCTAATGAATCCCTTTTTCTTTATAATAACTCATCAATTGTGTAATTAGTGTTCTTCCAGTTAAATACTGGGTACAATTAAGATCTTATTCATTTCACCGATTCGAGTTTAAAATTTAAATTTTATTATAGTAAAAAAATTTTAAAAATAATCACATTTAATTATTTTACTATAATAAAAAGATCTCACATAAAATTACATTTTAATTTAAATTAACAAATTAAATAGATCCTAAATATTAGCGCATCTCAACTCTCAAGCAATGCCTTTTCCTCAATGCTGGATTTTTGCTACGAATTTACCACGTAAAAGGATGTAATTTCTGCTGGGTTACTTGCTCTCAAATAAATGACAAAAATAAATTCATCCTTTCTGGCAACCGTCAGCAAAGAGCTTAGCTCCTCTCAAAATGTGAGCCATTTTGCCATCTGGAATTTCTGACTTCTGCCTATAGGACACCTGCAATCATTGAGCATTTTTTTAATTAAATAAATCATCGAGAATTTTTTAATAAAAAAAAAAAGAAATAAAGAAAAGACGTTTCGTTATGCAAGAAGTTTTGTATTCGCCTACTAAAATTATTAGGTAAGATAGAAAATGTTAATATCCTAAAAAGAAATTTTTTTTTTGATCTAATACGAAAATTTAATCAATATGTTTTATACCATAATTTATCACAAGTCTAACGTAACGTTTAACTTAAACTACTTAAAAATTTGAAGCTCAAATTAAGTTGGGTATGTTAAGCTCAATATTTTAAGCTTGGTATTTTGAGATCAGTACCCTGAGCTTGATACTTTGAGCTGGGTATGTCGAGCTAAGTAATTTAAGCCTAATATGTTAAGCACTTAAGCTGGATAAGTGACATGTGCGACCCTATATAAGTTAGTGAGAAGAAATGTCTCAGGCCAAATGCCATAAACTAAATGCCCTAAGTCAAATGTTGTAGGCTAAATGCCTCATGCCAAATGTCCTAAGTTAAATGCTTCAGGCTCAACACCCTAAGCACGATACCTTGAGCTCGGTACTTCTGGGTTTAATACTTTGAGGTTGGTATGTTAATCTTGGTACCTTAAAGTCGGTACGTTGAGATTAATGCCTCGAGGTCAATCTCCGGAGAGTTAGCTCCCTAAGACAAGTTCGTTGAAGTAGGGCAAGTTAAAATAAGCCTAACCCCCTTACTCAATTTATTATGTGGAAAAAAAAGAAAACTACATCAGCAATCCTAGTTAAATAAGAGAATCACCACGTCAGCGATTCCATGATATGCATATTATCATCAAGGGAAGCAGGATGTTATGTCCACGGAAGAGTGATAAGCCACGTGCTAAGAGAAGAGCAAGAGACGCGGAAATAGTGGACGTGAGTAGGACGGTTACACCCACGACTGACGGTTACATCCACGAGGGGTGGTTACACGGGGAGAAAGGCTTTATAAATACGAGAAGCGGAAACGGAGAAGGGGGTTTAGACCCTCGCTTTGAGAGAAACTTCTTTTATTTTTTCCTTCCTTACCTTGAATGTAAGAGAGCATGTAAGAGAAAGCTTGAATGTAAGAGAGCATGTGAGAGAGAGTTCGAGTGTATAACCTCAAAAATGCAATGAAAAACTCAATAACCACAGTGGACGTAGACTATTTTGAGCCGAACCAGATGAAATTCTTATGTCTTCTCTTTTCTTTCATTTTCATTTTGATTTGTTGATGGTATTTTGATCTTATTAAATTAGATATCACTCTAGAGATTGGGTTTCTTCGATGTTGATATTTTTTTTGCCGTCAACAATGTGTAAGCGTCGAGTTTATTATGATCTTCTAATATTACCCTCTTCTAATCTTATGCCTCGTTCATTTCACCGATTCGAGTTTTCAGTTTTAAGTTTCTACAGTAAAAAGTTCTCAAAAAATGTCACATCAACTTTTTCTGCTACAGTGAAAAGCTCTCAGAAAATATCACATCTCAGCTCGAATTAGAAACTCAAATCTACGAAGTGAACGAGGGCTTAGTACCGTAAAGAATTCAAATGTTATGTTTTTTTTTTTTATTATAAGTTAAATAAAAAAATGGACAGGGTAGTAATCGCTCTAGCCACTAGCCAGGCGGTGAAAGTAGCCAAAGCCACCGTTAAGTGATTATGCATTAAACATGAAAAAATAAAAAAGGAAAAAAGAGAGAAAGACACGAAATAATTATAAATCCCTTAAATTGCTCCCCAAGCCACAGAAATCAACGGTTAGCAATAAAAATATCGTCCTTTATTCTACATCCAACGGTTCATAAATTTTCCCCAAAAAAAAGAGGAAAAAGACTCACCAGAGAGAAAAAAGAAAAAATAAGGCTGAAATTAGGGTTTTCGGTCCGCATATATATTGGCCAAAGGCATTTCCCCCGTTTTTGCTTTGCCCGTGCAATAGAGAGAGCCCTTCCTTGTTCTTTCATTCCCATTTTTCACTTTCATTTCGATCTTCCGTTTTTGCTGCATAACCATGGGCAAGGGTCCCGGGCTCTACACCGACATCGGCAAAAAAGCCAGAGGTTCTCTCTTTCTCTCTCTCTAGAATCCCATTTTTTCTGTATTAGGGTTCTTAGCTGCTTAATCGGCAGATTACGATTTGGAGTTAATTGAAAATTTTGCTCTTCTTTGGGTGATAGATCTTCTCTACAAGGATTACCAGAGCGACCACAAGTTCACCATCACTACCTACTCTCCCACTGGAGTGGTGAGTTCATTTCATTTCGTTTCTCTTACTGTAATAAGATCTACGCTTGTGTATTGACTTCTCGGAGCTCGGTTTTCGCTTGTTGTAAGGTTTTTCTGCTTGTATTCGTAATCTACTCTCTCCAATATCGTAATTGGTCATGTAAACAAATTTTCGTGCATACGAGAATCACTTTTCGTAGTAATTGACGAAATGTCTCAGTTTTAGATAATCGGAGTTTTTTTTTTTTTTTTTTAACCTAATTTGAGTTTTCTTGCTGTGGTTGTTGCTAATGTCATACATGCCACATAGTGAAAAGTTTCTCGCGTAATGATGAATTTGCTTTGTGGATGTGAGGATGCGTTATGTTGATTTTGTATTATAGTTTGATTATTGTGATGCTGTTCAATGTTTATGCCCTAAAATTTGACCTTGTATCACTAGTACCAATAATTGTCTTCATTGCTGTAGGCTATTACATCCACAGGGACAAAGAAGGGTGACCTGTTTTTGGCTGATGTCAACACTCAGCTTAAGAACAAGAACATCACAACTGATATCAAAGTCGACACAAACTCCAATGTAAGCACCCAAAATTTTCACTTTCCTTGTATATATTCTTCTCTCCATTTCATGTTTGCCAATAGATTTTTGCTTTTTTTTTTTTTTAAAGAAAAGGCTTTTTACTCAGGTTGTAGATAAAATCAGTAAATTCTTGGTCAACTTATGTAGGTCCTATAAAGTATGCCAATAATCAGTTTTCTTTGTAATTTAAGTACATACAATCGACTGTTAAAACTTTGTTCAACTTTCACCTTGCCTTTTGTAATGTTAGTTAGCATTATATGATTGTGAAATCATACTATCACCTTTCTAAAAGTGTAACTGGTGGAAATGAAACAAGAAAATTTTCCTATTTTGTTCATCATTATTCTTCTCATGTTTTCTGCTCTTTTGATCTCTTTACGGAATATCTGTGCTTTTGTCAGCTCTTTACAACTGTTACTGTGGATGAACCTGCTCCGGGGCTGAAAACCATCTTAAGCTTCAGACTTCCCGATCAAAGGTCTGGCAAGGTAAGCAACGTGATATGTGAACTTGGTGTAATGATTTTTTCTCTTTTTGTATCATGAGTGATTATTTTTAATTTTGTTCATTCAGATGGAAGGGTTATGTTGTTTGAAAGACCATTTATATTTATGTTAATTAGTGAAACTACCATTTAATTAGTGGGTTTCAACAGGTGGAGCTCCAGTATCTGCATGACTATGCTGGGATAACCACCAGTGTTGGGTTGACAGCAAACCCTGTTGTTAACTTCTCCGGTGTTTTTGGAACAAATGTTGTTGCACTTGGCACCGATGTCTCTTTCGACTCAAAAACTGGGCAATTCACCAAATTGAATGCTGGATTGAGCTTCTCCAATGCAGACCTAATTGCTTCACTCACCCTGTGAGTCACTGATAATGTTATTTTTCCTTGTAACTTTTACGTTCTTGATAGCATCAGAGTTATGGAGCCCTTGCTTGTAGTTCAGCCGACCCCCAAGTACAGCCGTAGGCTTGTAGCTGGTTAAATATAGTAAATTATGAGATGGCCTCGTTGAGCTGTTATGTATTATCGAATAGCCTACCTTAATTCTCTCCTTTGGATTAGTTATTGAATTACTTCCATGGTTTGCAATTTTAATTCTATATATTTTGGTGTGTTGTGCATATATTGCTGGGTTTAGTTCTGTTTCTGGCTTCTCAAATTTCAATTATATCCTTCATGGTGCTTAGTTTAATGATAGGTTTTTTGATGATACAGAAATGACAAAGGTGACACCCTGAGTGCGTCCTATTATCATACTGTCAATCTCCTCACAAACACAGCTGTTGGTGCTGAGGTTACCCACAGCTTCTCAACCAACGAAAACACAATCACTGTTGGAACCCAGCATGCATTAGATCCATTGACCACCGTGAAGGCACGAGTGAACAACTTTGGCAAGGCTAATGCTCTTATTCAGCATGAGTGGCGACCAAAGTCATTCTTCACCCTCTCCGGGGAGGTAGACACCAAGGCCATTGAAAAGAGTGCCAAGGTTGGATTGGCTTTGGCTCTCAAGCCATGAGTGAGAAATCTGTCAGTGTCACTATGGCAGGGAGCATTAAGCTAGGAACGAGGAGCATAGTATAGTTGTTCTGTTCAGAGTTCAGACTGACTTATCTTCCATATCAATTGTTGGTTCTGTTTTTTCCTGGAACAAGTGCTTAATGTCGTGACATTTTATTTGTCTTGGCGGTTTTTTTTTTTTTTTTGGTTGTAAAAATAAATGTACTTGGTTTCATAGACCTTTTTGAGTTTTTACACTCCTATCAGCCCACTGTTAAAGAGGGTGGTGAAACCTGTTATGGAGGGTTCTGAGTTGAACTTCTGTTCCAATTTTGATGATTCTCTTCGGTAATTTTCCATATGCCCTTTAATTTTCTTTTTTTTTATTTTTTTATTTTTATTTTTTGAAATAATGAATGCTCCTGCAGGTTATTATTTGATCAATGTTGGGAATTCACGATGATTCCCGGAAATGCTCGCTGATTCTGTCATGAATGAAGCAAAGATTAGAATAAGAAATTACTGGCTTGGGTCTATCTTCATTTCCTTATCTAATATGCAAGCCTCATCTTTTTGGGGATCAATCCCACCAAGAAAAAAGAGTATTCTTATAGGACTCTGATACACTGAGACACATTGGGTATGGTATTGGCACATATTTCACGAACTGACCTTTTGTAACGCAGTGATAGGATTTCATCTACAAGCGAAAGTTTCATAATTTTATAGGCAAACTAAACCAACTTTATAAGCAATCACAAATGGCTTTATTCAGGAGCTTGCTCAGCGCCCAAGGTCAACCTGGTGCCACTTTACAAATGCTGATGAGTGGCTGAGGAAGCTTGAAGCACCCCATCTCAAATCTGCGTGGCAATGTCATGCACAGCGCCTGGTCCGTGGAGGATAAACACCGCCGAGGACTTGGAGGAACCGCCAATTTCCTTCATGGTATCGAAGTACTGTGTGAGGAGAACCATGTCAAACGCATCTTTGGCAGTGGTTCCTGGCATGTTGACTGAGAAGCCGAGCAGGCTCTCTTTCAGACCAACAATTGCCTGGCACTGCTGAGCAATGCCCACACCAGAGAGATACTTGGATCTTGCCTCGTCCTCTGCTCACTTAATCTGTATATCTTTTCGGCTTCTGCTCTCATTAGTTTCCACCCTCAACCTTGCAGCTGCCAAAAAAAAAAAAGAAATCTGAGTCTCGACTAGTTTTAACAAGTTCCTTATCAGATCATAATAAGAATGTAGTTGGAAGAAATTTCTATCATTTCTATAAGACCAAAGAACTTCTCTCACCAGCATTGATTTCATTTATGGATAGCTTTACATGCACATCTGGTTCAATATCAAAGGTGTGTTTTTGAACAATTTCATAACCATATGCAGACATAGCCTGTTACTCCAAAAAAAAAAAAAAAACATCATTAAAAATCCCGACACTTGTGGCTTGTAGAAATAGTTCGACTCTTTCATTTGACTACTAATTCCTTTTCAAGCTCCTCTTCCACAGCTTGCAATTTCATTCTTTCACTCAAAGACATCATCCAAATCTAGCTTTGGGACACATGCTCTGATCATTGAACAATTTCATTCTAAGTTTGTAGAAAGCATCATTCGCCTTGTCGATGAGGACACGGTATTGTACCGATGCAACGACGTTGACAAACGTTATCCTACACCAGAATTATCAGGAGCAGATATCATGCGTAATATTCAGTTCAGAATTGTTACTAAATTTGGCTTTCTTGTAAATTGATTGTCCCATTCTTGGGACTTTTTTTTTTTTTTTTTTTTTTTTTTTTTTAAGTTTTTACATGGTTGATAGACAAGCCTTTGTTTTGGTTTCGCAAGGGACGTCTAACTGCTGCAACCGGAGCGAGAGACGGCCAGCAAGTTGGCATCCCAAAATCCATGGTAGGCAATGACATCCTGGCTCAAGCACATCATTGAACTTCCCAAATCTCTCTTTGATTGCAACTGAAAGATTGCTCGACTTGTACACAGCAGAAGAATAGATTGCCCATTTTTACCTGATCTCCACCCTAAATAAATCCAAAAGTACATATCAGATTAGTTAGTGACTGAAGAAAAATTGAACCAAAATCAAATATTTTCTATATATTCTCCATGCTACTAAAAGAGGTCACAAAAGTCCCCTAAAAAAGTGGTCGTAAAAGTTTTTTTTTTTTTTTTTTTTTTTTTTTTTTTTTTTTTTTTTTTTTTTTTTTTATAGCGCATATACTAATCAATAAAATCAGTAGTAAAGTCTGGATAGCGCATATACTAATCAATAAAATCAGTAAAACAACATATGCTTAGTTGTCCAAGATTTAGAACTTTGGACAAACAGAATTACATCCGTTCCAGAATAAGAGAGAGAGAGAGACCAACAAAGTTTCAAGATATCAGAGAGATGAAGGCCTCGTTCACTTCGCTGATTCAAGTTTAGAATTCGAGTTGAGATGTGATTTTATGTGAGAGCTTTTTACTGTAGCAAAAAAGTTAGATGTGATTGTTTGTGAGAGCTTTTTACTGTAGAAAAACTCGAATTAACGAAGTGAACGGGACCGAAGTTACCAACAAGACTGTGTAGAGTAATGAGTTTGACAAGAGGTATTTAAAACATGGATGACAGAGAAACCTTAAAATAAATAAATAAATAAATATAATAAAAACTAAAAAAATAAAACCAAAAAAAAAAAAAAAACCAAAAAACCAAAAAAAAAAGAAAAAGAAAAATTCAGTTAAGCTTAATACTATCTTGGAGTTTTAGAGTCCTGTGAGGCCTTCTATAGATTGTGCACATTTCTAACTATTGAATATAGTTAAAATCACATTAAAATATATATATAAAGAGTATACAGAATATATAAATTTTGATATAGATTAACAGTTCAAAAATAAAAATCTACCAGTTATTCATTCCTCTAATCCTATAATGACAATCTCCTAATTTTTATATGTAATAACTAGACTGGTAATAATTATAAAGGTATTGTTGGCTACCTTACGCTTAAGCTTTTGGGAGAACTAGTAAACCAATACATCAGTATCAATCAACCTCTCGGAGCAGATTCTAAGAAAATTCAAGCCATCATCGCCCTACCCCCACAATATTCGTATCCTTGATATAAATGTAGAAGTCGAATGTGTTGATATAACATTCTTTAATCCCTTTAAAAATAAAATTAAAAAAAAAAAAAGACTCCTCGCGACAGTTAATCAATAGCGATTGACATGAGGTAGAGATTAATTCGAAAGAACGAAACGAAGGAGACCTAAAATACTCCCTAGTTTTATTAGGTAATGGTACGATTTCCACAAGGTGAAACTTCGCATCAAATACAATATTCTTAATTTCATTTGTCACCACTTCGTAGCAAAATAGTCACTTAGCAAACCAAAAGTAGACAATAGAAGTAGACAAATGATTAGTACGTTCAATTGTTTGCTTATTTTCTATGGCAAAAATCATGAAAATCCTAGTTTTTCAGAATCCTACCATTTTTTGGCTTTTCGATTTCCCATATCTGGTTCGATTTTTATTTACTGTCTTATTTTATCTTATTTTTATTCAGGTACACCATTGCGGCAAGAAAGAGTTCAGCCAAAATATATGAATATCCGGGAAAATGTTATTTAGCTTTATGACTTTTTCTTTGGACTTTTTAAAACTTCTAGAAAAAACAATTTCTTACCATGGACTTGAAACATATATACGCAGATAATTATTCCACGGAAGAAATGCCAAACTCAATGATCTTATCCATAAATTTGAATTAAAAATCATTTTGAGTACCAAATGGCATCCAACTGAAAAACAGCATTCACCTAGTGAGTTTTGCGACGCACGTAGCAGAAAAACTTTCCACTTTCTAGGAAACAGGAGCAACCAAGTTCAATCCACTTGCAGAAAAAGACCCCACGCTAATTTAGTCCGTCAAAAGCTTTTCCACGCTAATTTTTAGCAGGCATTGCCTTGAAGAAGACCCTCTCGAATCTGCGAAGCAATGTCCTTCACTGCACCAGGCCCGTGCGGGATGAAGACAGAAGATGACTTTGAGGATGCTCCAATGTCTTTCATGGTATCAAAGTACTGAGTCACCAGCACCATGTCCATGACATCCTTGGCTGATGTTCCAGGAACAGTCTCAGAGAAGTTAAGCACGCTGTTCCTCAGTCCATCAACAATGGCCTGACGCTGACGAGCTATGCCGAGCCCCGCCAGGTATTTGGATTCCGCTTCTGCCTCGGCTTTCTTGATCTGCAATACTTTCTCTGCTTCAGCCTTCTCATTTGCTGCCAACCTCTGCCTAGCAGCTGTCATAACAAATGGCAAACCGCAATAAACAAACTAAAAATCCAAAACCAAGACAAAAATATTTTCAGGACCCAAGAGCACTTTGGAAATTAGAAAGCAAAACAGAGCAATCATGTACCGTCTAGTTGTTACTTCACCAATCAAAATAAATCTCCATTCCTAAAAGGTCAAGGCATCTAATCTGTTCACCTGCATTAATGTCGTTCATAGATCTCTTCACATGAGCATCAGGCGCTATATCCACAATGAGGGTCTGGACTATTTCAAAACCATAAGTAGACAGGGCCTGTAATACAAAATTGGTTAGATTACGAGGTCTCAAAATAAACTGATAGCAATTTATCTCTACTGTAAATGTGTTACCTTCTCAAGCTCCTCTTCCACAGATTTTGCTAAATGACTTTTCTGTGCGAATACAGCATCCAATTCCAATTTGGGGACACTAGCTCTGATAACTGAAAAACAATAAAAGTTGATCATGTCAAGCAATTGATCTTACCATAAATCTAGTAAGCAAAGTCTTTTCTCTGTTTTTACAAATGTTGTCTTCGATCTACAATTTCATAGCGCCAAAAAACACGCTAACACATACCATCAAAAACATAGGCTTGGATCTGTGAGTTGGCATTTGAGAGCTTATAGTAAGCATCTGATGCTTTTTCTGGCAAGGAGCGGTATTGGATAGAAGCAACCACGTTAACAAAGACGTTATCCTACAAACTCAACACTAAATCAGACCTGATAATCTCCTAACATCAAATTACATGTTGTAAACTACTAACATCAAGGAAAAGGAATTTCAGTGCTACATGAAATGAATCCCTATGGCACATATCTACCGGGCAACTTAAACAATGTTAAGTCACATTTCATATCCTAGCTAATCTTTAAACATAAAGGGAAAAATTCAGAGTTCCATAAAAATGAAACTGAAAGAGGCAGAAAAACCTTGGTCTTGGTCTCGCAGCGGACGTCGAGTTGTTTCACACGCAAGGAGAGAACTCCGTTTGCCTTGTATCCAAGGCACCAAGGCACGCAGTGGCAGCCAGGCTCAAGCACATCTTCGAACTTCCCGAAACGCTCCTCCATTGCCACTGTCGACTGCTTCACTTGAATGCAACCAAGTGATTGTCCCATTTTCCAACTCTTTGTAGCCAATCAGATGGTATTGATGAATTACTATTTCCACAGTTTCTAAAACAAAACATCTCTTGTCAAATATAAACAAAACCCAATGATCACAGAGAAAAATTAAAACAAAAACCTCTAATAGAAGATGGAACTTTGCGGTCACAACAATTGATTCTCATGTTAATGCTGTCACACAGGAAACATTTTTTTGCTATTCTCATGGAAAACTAAAATCCGTTGTTTTCGTAAATAAATATATAAAGGGGTTTATTTCCTCGCACTTAAAACATAATAAATGGTAAAAACCATAACGCAACTCTTAATAGTGAGAGAAGGACAAAATCGAAATAGAGAAGCACTGAAGAGAAAAATAAAACCACAAGGAAGTAAAAGAGAAAATAATAACAACTCAGAGGAAAACCACGAATATCAATATTTATTTACCAACCATTGTCATCAAATCAAATAACAAAAGAGAGAACTAAAACTACAACTGAAAAAAAAAAAATGATAATGGGAACATAACCCTATTTCTAAAACAATATAAATTCTTAATTAAATGAAAATTAAATATTAAGAATCTGTTTGGTAATGGGTTTGAACAGAATCGTTGGGTTAATTTTTTATTTTTTATTTTTTATTTTATGAGATAACATACTGTAATGGAAAGGGTCTGAACAAGAACAGTATGGAAGTTTCTATTTTTTTATTTTTTTATTATTTTAATGAAACATCAGACTCAAAACAAACACAAAATAATAATAATAATTCTAATAAAATAAAAAAGGAAAAAAAGTGAGGAGTCAAAAACCATTTGAACATGCCATGACCAAGAAGAATATATCATTCAAGGGGTTGTTGCGCTTTCAAAGACGACAGACAAACCCAAATATCAAATTACACACTAAAAAAAAGAAAAGAGAAACAAAGTCTAAGAAGTTGTTATAGACAAAACTATGACTAGTATGACTGTGAAAGAAGAGAACGCCTTCTGTTTCCAGAATTTCTCAAACATCTTTACGATTTCTTGGCAAGCAAGCAAGAGAAGAGAACAGAGTCGTTGCAAGGTCATACCTCGCTGTGTAAACGAAGAAATATGCAGCCTAGACTCGAGAGAGACGACGTTCTAATCACTGAAATATCTGTTTATTTATAATTGGAACTAGTTTTTTTTTTTTTTAAGCTACTTTGATCTTTAGATTAACTTTTTTTAACGGTTTGATTTATAATTAGAAATAGTTCGCTTTAAATTTTTAACTTAGAATTATTTTATTATTTCAATTCAATTTAAGATTATGTTTAATTTTTTGTTATTTTAAATTAATTTATGTTTATCTTCTTTTTAAAAAAGAATTAAGATTTCATTCTCTATAAATACATTAGTAATCCTAATTCTTATTTCAATTCAGTTTTTTTTTTTTTTTTTTTTTTTTTTTTCTTTTCCTTTCTTTTCTTATGATTTTTTGTTCAGTTAGTTGAAATTGTACAAATGTCAGGAGCATGGGACGGGAGCAGGCTCGGCGGATAAGTACGGATGTTATTTTGCGTTTTATTTATTTATTTTGTTGAAGGAGCATGTTTCACTTTTTCAAGCGAAAAAAGGCCAAAAATGTACTACATTTTAATATTTCCATATTCGATTACCTTTTTTCATTTATTTAAGAGAATCCATTTTCAATTACTTTTGTTAATAGGTAAACTTAACAAAAAAAAAAAAAAAAAAAATTTGTGCTCTCAATTCATAATTTGTTTTATATGTAGTATTACTATGACCTAGGCCACTAGTGTTTGCTGGCTGATTTTGCTTGGCTAAAATCCAAGAAGAAAGAGCGGCATAATTTGAGAAACGAGTTTTAATAAATGATAAATGAATCTTTTCTCAATGGATTTTAATAAGTGAAATTTGGGTACAATTAGCACTAACCTTTTGCACCGTTGCCAAAAGCAGTAATGCATGAGAAATTAAAAAGAGGGGTTATTTTAGGCTAGTCCCCATATGCTTGCAGTGATGAGACTCGATCCAAACATTGTAGGATTTAATTGAACACATGGGCCCTCTGGTCTACATTTTGTATGAACAAAAGTTTCTATAAAAGAAAATTAATAAAAATAAAAAGAAGAAGAAAGGGAGGGGGGTGGGGTGTAATGACTGAGAAAATTTCAGACTTTAAATAATACAATTTATTTATTTAAGTCAAGGATTTTCCTAGAAAATATTATGTGACTGAAGGATTTATGGAATCAATATATGTATTCCTAAATTCTGTAGCAGATTTCATGTTAAGTTCATGTTTTCGATCAAGTAAATTCGATCGATAAATTCTCGTCGTACTTTAAGGCGGAATAATTTTCAGTACAAGTATAGTTTGAGAATCTTAATTTCAAGAATCTCCAAACACAGCGTGATGTTAGCAGCGTATAAAAAAAACGCACTGACATTTTAAAAGAAGAGAAAATCCTTAATTGCCAGACAGCTAGGTTAAAGTCAGAAGATAAATACCCATAGTAGAAGGGTACAATGTGAACTCGGGAGTTGACATCGTCAGAAACAACGACATTTCTGAAAATTAACGCAGGAAAGTTAAATTTAGAATTTGTTCAGTCTAGAATTAATTTCAAGACTGTAAACAGTTCAAGATATTACGCGAATAAGAATTTAATGTGATATCCAAAGCAGTCAAGGATTTAACATTTAACTGTAAATAAGCAGTAGAAAAAGGAACCGTCAGAAATGGAAACGAATTCCTGTCAGCTAAGTTACTCTCTTATAGTCAGTATAATTTTTATCAGTTTCTAAGGAAAACTTAAGAAAGTGGACAAGAGTACAATGGGGTAGGTGAGATTTTTTCTCTCTCTTCCTCCACTTGGCCGGCCATGCATGAAAAAATAGAGCCAAACCTTTGGCTAGTGGAGTGTGCTAGAGGACTTTATGTTAAGGTGATGTGATGTTAGTGGTTGAAGGGGAATTAATGGCAAAGTTGCTTCTTCTTTTCTCCTTCCAAAACCGGCCAAGAAAGGGGGATTTGAACCAAAAATTTGGTTGAATGATGGAGTGGAATTGGTGTTAAAAAAAATAATTTCCAAGTGCCTATAAAAGGAACCAACATAGGATAAGCTTCATTTTTTTTCTCCTAGCTTTTTCCCCACTCAAAAATCCGGCCACACACTCTCCATTTCCTCTCAAATATTTTCTCCCACTCTCCAAATCTTGAGCCACTAGCACACCATAGAAGAAGAAGAAGGAGATCAAGGGATTCTAGGAGGAGACTAGTCAAGCATTCCTCTAAGGGTAAAGAAACTCTAAATCCTCTCTTTTTCATGTTTTGGGAAAGTTTGAAATAGAAAAATATTCTTCTCAAATTTCCTTATACTCTTATAGTTTCAAGCCATTAACAATCCTAGAGGAGTTCAAGGGTTTTTCAAGAGAAAGAGAGAATTCTTCAAGGGTAAGTTCTTAAACTCCCCTCCATTAATTTCTAGCCAACTTTAAGCTTGGATTTATGGATGTAAATTTGTGGTTCTTGAAGAGATAAGATTGTAATAAGAGTGTGTGAGTTTTATGTTGGTTTTGTGAGTTTTGAGCTTAGTTTGATGTGGTATGTTTATGCTTAATCTAAGTTGCTTATTTTCGGATTAGAGGAAAAATTTTCCGGTGACTTTGACCGCGAAAATGAGGACCATAGAGCGAGAGTTTTTAATGTTTTAAAGCTTGAACTTATAGCCCTGGATGTTTTGAACATTTTCGGTTACTATGACAAAACCTAATTTTAACTCTAAAACCAAGTTTGAAGCCATTTGGCAAAAACGGACAAGCTGTCCAACACAGTTTCGAAAAAAAAACTGGCAGCCACTGGTTCAGCCAAACGGGACCCTTAGAAGCTGAATCTCGATTTTTCACAAAAGTGACAATTTTATATTTCGACGAGATGAAGAAATTTGATGAAGAAAAGATTTTCAAAATCCGACCCTAAGAGGTACTAAAACACAGATTCCCGAAACGGCACAGTTTTTGACTAAAACAGTTTCAAGAAAAACAGCAGCTACGGCTTTCAGCCAAACGGGGCCTTTAGAGGCCGAGATGAGAAGCTATACGGCTCAACTCCAACATAATTGCTCTGATATAGCTGGCTCTTTTAGGCACTTGGATATTTCCCAACAACTCCGGTCCATTTATGGTTATTGCTTCTGTGAACATAGTAGCTAAATAATCCCAACGCGTTACATAAGGCAGATATTGTATAATTGTTCGGTTTTCCGCAATTTTTTCCATTCCTCGGTGTAAATAGCCTAATATTGGTTCACAGTCAATAACATCTTCACCATCGAGAGTAACGATGAGTCGAAGAACACCATGCATTGATGGGTGGTGGGGACCCATATTTACTATCATGAGGTCTTTTCTTGGAGCTGGTATATTCATAGGTTTTTCTTTTTCCTCGATTGATTCTTTCATGAATTACTGAAAAGCGAAAATAAGTTCATTAAAATAAAAAAAAATCAAGATCTAATAAATCAAATAATTCAATAATTCAAAACGCTTCCTCAAATTCAAATTAACGCATTTTTGATTCCCGAATATCTAACTGATTAATTAATTCTTTATAACGTATTCTATTGTTCTTTGACAAATAAGACAGCATCCTTTGGCGTTTTCCCAAAATTTTACGGAGGCCTCTCTGAGATAAATAGTCTTTTCTGTGCAATTCCAAATGTGAAGAAAGTTTTCGTATCCTATTAGTGAGGCTTAGTATTTGAAATGTAACAGACCCCCTGTTTTTTTCTTTTTCTTCGTGTGAAATAACCGAGATGAATGACTTTTTTATCATAAAATGAAATCTTCCCCCCCACCGGCCCTTATTGCTTTGCTAGATTTTTTTATTGATCAATAATAATAATGTTATTCATTTTTTTTTTTTTATTTGGCATACACAATACAATAATCTTAATTTTGTGAATAATCTTAATTTTGTGAATAATTTCCAATTTGAAAATTGTATTCGAATAGGTAAACAAA